GTCAGCCAGCGTCGACACACAGGTACAGTTCCACGCTAAGAGCTTGCTATTCTTCCAAGGATAGATGGTAATCCCGTCAGGGCAGATTGCTGGATTGTGAGTATTGTTGGCTGCTAGTGATCAGGCCTCTCTCTCTCGACTTGGCATCCAGCTGTAACGTGATTTTTAAATAACACTTCAATTTTGAAATTGTTAAATAGAGAAGGCATATCAAGAAGGTTTTTCATTGTAAGAGAGAACCAACATATTCTTGGTTGAATATGATTTTTTTTTTGAATTGTAAAATGTGTTTCTAGCAACTTAATAGGATTTGTAATTAAGTATTTTGGGTATTGTAGATCATTAGCTATTTCGTAAATCCTAAAGATTTTTTCATCTTCGAACTCTGGGCTGCAAATATGCAAAGTTCTCAAAAACAAGGATAATAATACAGAAAGTTTATCTGTATCATGATTTGAAGAATAATAGTGCATATAAGAACAATTATTTGTTGGTTATCTGTATATTTTGAATTTAATATCAAATTTCCCTTAAATAATTAAGACATCTTAAAAAGGCAGTGATTTATTTTGCTCAAAATTAACAGTAAAATTTATGGAATGTTCTAGACTATTTAATTAAATAATGATATGGTTTATACCTATGTAATTTATCATTAGACACAAAACATCATCATCTACAAATTCCTAAGGGCAGGCGGGAGAGGATTTCCCATTGCCATACCAAACTTCTGAGTATAAAACTCGTCATTAAAAAACAAACTTTGCATCAACAATACAAAATTTAATAAGCTCAATGGTTGTAGCTAATGGCAATTTTAAATCGTAATTACCGAGTTCTTCCTGTGTCAGACGCAGCAATATCTTGGGGTCTTCATACAGGAAATTATGTGGTTGACTTACCTATAAGTGACCTACTTCCACCTGTTGATTTGTCCAAAGTGACATAGCCTCCGACTGCTTCATCTCACCTGTCTGCAGTATATAAGACCCTTTGCGCATATCTGTATTCTTATCAAGATGGATATACTGATTACATCGATTCCAGGCTGAGGGACTGACTACCTCGATCTTCTGATCCTCACCATTCTTCTTTCTATTGGACTGATGAAGCCACTATGTAGCGAAACATTTCCAGAGTGCAGAAACTCAAGTTTTGCACATTTATCTAATTTATCAACTTGTCGGTTTCTGAAATATTAGTCTACAAATATCGCAAACACACGTGTGCTCGGCAAGGATATGGGTGACAAGGAGAAGTTCAAGACTGATATGAATACTTTTCTGGTCGAGGCATTTTCCTATGGAGGAACTGAGGACTACCACCCCACACTCCCCAGCATGAGCGGCTTTTGTTGCTAGAATTTTAGTACTTGATACTTTCAAATATACCATACCACGGGCGGGGATAGAACCCGCGATCAGAGAGTCTCAAAACTCCAGACCGTCGCGTTAGCGAGGCTATATTTTCCCTTTTGGGTCACCCAAATGTGAATGGTTGTAGTTGTTGGGAAACTCTAGTTGTGAATCCTGATAATGTATCTCAGATCAATGTTCCATTACTGAACGTGTGATCTTGAACCTCAACATCGTCCCTAAGGTACTCGTGAAATGTTATTTGTGATGCCTTGCGGACAAATATGTCTCCTTGACAGACTTGGGATGTAACCTGGTCCTACTGTCAATCTTCTAGAGTGAGGTTGAGTACTTTCGTGTATAATGGTTACGGGAAACTGTTGTATTCATGGAGTTGAGGGTTGTCTTATGAGAGGTGTCGATCTTAGAAAAAATAAGATAAGATAAGATTTCGTTCGGATTTTTAACCCCGGAGGGTTAGCCACCCAGGATAACCCAAGAAAGTCAGTGCGTCATCGAGGACTGTCTAACTTATTTTCATTGGGGTCCTTTAATCTTGTCCCCCAGGATGCGACCCACACCAGTCGACTAACACCCAGGTACCTATTTGCTGCTAGGTGAACAGGACAACAGGTGTAAGGAAACGTGGCGAAATGTTTCCACCCGCCGGGAATCGAACCCGGGCCATCCGTGTGTGAAGCGGGGGCTTTAGCCACCAGGCCACCGGGCCACCGGTGGACGTTTTGATTGCGTACTTGATGTCACATCCTCCTCTTATTGCCTTGTTTCTTTTAGTGAATTCCGTCAATGGCATGAGTTCCTAGAGAGGCTCCAAGCATTACACTTCTCGTGGGGGCAGTGGTTACGCACATAGTGGAAAATATTTCAGTGCATCAATCACTCGTTGATTGACTAAGGTGATTTCTTATTTGGTTGGATTAAGGACGAGCCCATGGTCTATTTTCGTGTCATCACCTGAGTTAGATTTATTAGAAGGGATCGCTTTGTACCTGCCATTGTGCCATCATCTAGACACGAGATCTTCAATTTGTTGGCCATTCTGATAGCAATTTCCCTAATTGCCATGTGGAAGAGAAAAGGGGCCAGGGATTAACTTTTAATACCACGTCTCTTTCAGTAGATGACATGTTTTATTGAAGTTTAGTATTAATACCGCACATTATCCTCAGTTAGGCTACTGATACATATTCTTGCCACATGAACCACAGCTTTACTGCCAAGTTGCTTTGCTTGCAACTGCATGGCTGTCTCTGTCTGAATGCTTTGGACAGCAACTTTAGAAAAGAAGTGGAGAAGAGTCGCTATGGAACTTCAGTACGGTGCCATCATCAGGGGTTGAATCATTTAATGTATCAGTTAAAGCCTATTAGAAAATCGAGAGAATGAAAGAGGTATAAGGAAGGTATCAAGAGCCACATGCTCTTCTCACCAGCTTTTCAGGTACTAGCTAATAGTATTTCCTTTTTATATTCTTGGTCACCATGTCAACAACCTGTCAACACACTCCACCCTACAATCCACTTGATATAATAACTACCTGCTGCCATACACCACCCATCCACTTACTAGAACTGTCTGTCGACACACCCCATCCATCCATATTCATTTACTTGGCATAAAAACTACTAGTCGACACACTCCACACATCTGTCTACTTGTGTCTCAAGAAAATATAAACATTTTCATATATAATTTATATATATATTTTATCTAATGTTATATCACTAATATTATTGTCACTAGTAGCTAAGACGAAAAAAATCACGTATCATAGTATTATTTGCTTAATATATTTAGCTACACTGATAAGCAGAATGTATCACACCACAGATTCAACAATTTTAATTGGCTGTCCCACGCTGCTACTTTATTATTTGTAAAATATGATGTATTCTGAGATATGTGACTAGGAGGTTGTATAGCTCACTCATGCCTGCAGCTGCTGCTTCAATCTCTATGGCTGGAAATCGCCATGGGAAGCTCTCTTCTTTTCAACATGTGACATCTGTGACATCTGCTCTCTACTTCTATAATGTAGACTCAGTGTTGTGGTTGAGTACGATCTTGTCGGTGACGGGTGTCATTGTCCTCTGTGGAACTATGTTTCCAGATATTTATTTAGACCTCGTGATTTTTATCACTGGTTGTGTTGTGAGAGAGTATGATTCAGGTCCCAGATATAACTCTTTATTTAGTAATAAGGGAGTATATTCCTTGCATTGAGAATGTGTCGTTTGTCTCTGATTAGGTTATTTTTGGTGTTTTACTCCTGTTTGCATGATGCTGAGTTGTTTGTGCTTGTTTTGTGCATATCGCGTGTGGCAATTTGGTCGTTGCAATGGTCAAGCAAGCTGTGTTTATTGCCTCTTTATCTATCAGAAGGGAATTTATTTAGAGACTTAATGGGCTTTGTCATTCACTTCCTGTGTTGAGTCTGCCACACACTACTCACGCTATTTATTATAGTATTTTTGAAGTAAGATTTAGTACAGTAATATGCCAGTTGGTACAGTTTATTACTGCGAGTACAGTATTGTACAGGATATAAAGTCTCGTGTTTAAAAGCACAGTGTTGATTAATGCACTCATACTTAAAATACATAATTAGTAGTTACAGATATAATGCACCTAATGATGCGTAGGAACCCAACACTTTAAACATCTGTTACTTTCAGTGTAAATATTAACTATAAGCGTCAGTTTTGGTTCAGTGAAATTCATAAATGTTTTCAGCTAGCATTTCCTCTCCTATTTATATGTATTAAAGCCTTGCCTAATGAAACTGATCTTCAGATATAAGTCGTCGTCCTCCCATGAGGTGAACGACAAATATGACGACTCAGACATAAGCCATCAACGGGCTAATAACTAGATGGGTATAAATAGTTTGGCACTTTAGTATTCTGTGGTAGATGTCTGTGCTAATAGATATTATAACATTGTAACAACTTGCTATAACAATTTCGAGTCAACACACCTCACCCTTGTATCCACTGTGATATATCCATATATTCCCAGCTTTCTATAAGCTAGCTATCTCCCACAACCATTATCTAAACTTTTATTATCTGCTGTCTATCTTACCTTCCTATTCGTCTACTATTCTTCCCTCAAACAATAACAAAAAGGCACAATACCGTGACTGGAACAAGACACAAATAACCCGCACATACAAGAGAGGAGCTTACGACGACGTGTGATTTTGTAAATGGTCCAAGTCGGACCGAAACGTCGCCGTAAGCTCCTCTCTTCTACTAACCTCAAACATCCTTTCACTCAGGAAGTACTCCGACTCTCTACCAACTCTTCTCCCTTTCTTTGCTTCCACTACCCATCCCAACCTACCATTCACCCATTAATTACACCAGTCTTCACACATTAACCACAGCGGCTCCCAATCCAATAACTACTCATTTTTCTCCCCCATTAACTTCACATGCCTCTTATACATCAGCCACTCCCGTCCCACTCAGGTACTAATTACACCAGCCTCCCACTCACTAAATATCCCAAATTATCCCAACCACTAATTACCGAAGATTCACACCAACTAATTAACTCAGCCTCTCAATTACTAACTACCTAGTTCTCATACTTACTAGCCACCCACACTTACGCCCACAGGTAGAGAAGACGCCCACAAAGACAATGTCCAAACTTTACATCACACGGGCGGTGAAGACAGACTCGGGGAACTACACGTGTGCGCCCGTATACGCCCTGCCAGACTCCGTCAAGGTAATGGTGGTCAATGGTAAGTGTGACCAGTGGTGTTAATATTGTGACCAAAGTGTTGTTAATGATGCGACCAGAATGTTAATAGTGTGACCAGAGTGTTATTAATAGTGTGACCAGAGTGTTGTTAATAGTGTGACAAGAGTGTTGTTAATATTGTGACCAAAGTGTTGTTAATAATGTGACCAGAATGTTAATAGTGTGACCAGAGTGTTATTAACAGTGTGACCAGAGTGTTGTTAATAGTGTGACCAGAGTGTTGTTAACAGTGTGATCAGAATGCTGTTAATAGTGTGACCAGAGTGTTGTTAATAGTGTGATCAGAGTGTTGTTAACAGTGTGACCAGAGTGTTGTTAATAGTGTGACCAGAATGTTGTTAACAGTGTGACCAGTGTTGTCACTAGTGTTGACGGCACAGTTATGTTCTTATTGTGTTGTCACTGGTGCATGTAGTAAGGGTGTTGTCACTGGTGCGTGTTGTAAGGGTGTTGTCACTGGTGCGTGTTGTAAGGGTGTTGTCACTGGTGTGTGTGTTGTAAGGGTGTTGTCACTGGTGTGTGTTGTAAGGGTGTTGTCACTGGTGTGTGTTGTAAGGGTGTTGTCACTGGTGCGTGTTGTAAGGGTGTTGTCACTGGTGCGTGTTGTAAGGGTGTTGTCACTGGTGTGTGTTGTAAGGGTGTTGTCACTGGTGCGTGTTGTAAGGGTGTTGTCACTGGTGCGTGTTGTAAGGGTGTTGTCACTGGTGTGTGTTGTAAGGGTGTTGTCACTGGTGCGTGTTGTAAGGGTGTTGTCACTGGTGCGTGTTGTAAGGGTGTTGTCACTGATGTGTGTTGTAAGGGTGTTGTCACTGGTGTGTGTTGTAAGGGTGTTGTCACTGGTGCATGTAGTAAGGGTGTTGACACTGGTGCGTGTTGTAAGGGTGTTGTCACTGGTGCGTGTTGTAAGGGTGTTGTCACTGGTGTGTGTTGTAAGGGTGTTGTCACTGGTGCGTGTTGTAAGGGTGTTGTCACTGGTGCGTGTTGTAAGGGTGTTGTCACTGGTGTGTGTTGTAAGGGTGTTGTCACTGGTGCGTGTTGTAAGGGTGTTGTCACTGGTGCGTGTTGTAAGGGTGTTGTCACTGGTGTGTGTTGTAAGGGTGTTGTCACTGGTGTGTGTTGTAAGGGTGTTGTCACTGGTGCGTGTTGTAAGGGTGTTGTCACTGGTGTGTGTTGTAAGGGTGTTGTCACTGGTGCGTGTTGTAAGGGTGTTGTCACTGGTGTGTGTTGTAAGGGTGTTGTCACTGGTGTGTGTTGTAAGGGTGTTGTCACTGGTGTGTGTTGTAAGGGTGTTGTCACTGGTGTGTGTTGTAAGGGTGTTGTCACTGGTGTGTGTTGTAAGGGTGTTGTCACTGGTGCGTGTTGTAAGGGTGTTGTCACTGGTGCTGTGTTGTAAGGGTGTTGTCACTGGTGTGTGTTGTAAGGGTGTTGTCACTGGTGCGTGTTGTAAGGGTGTTGTCACTGGTGTGTGTTGTAAGGGTGTTGTCACTGGTGCGTGTTGTAAGGGTGTTGTCACTGGTGCGTGTTGTAAGGGTGTTGTCACTGGTGTGTGTTGTAAGGGTGTTGTCACTGGTGCGTGTTGTAAGGGTGTTGTCACTGGTGCGTGTTGTAAGGGTGTTGTCACTGGTGCGTGTTGTAAGGGTGTTGTCACTAGTGCGTGTTGTAAGGGTGTTGTCACTGGTGCGTGTTGTAAGGGTGTTGTCACTGGTGCGTGTTGTAAGGGTGTTGTCACTGGTGCGTGTTGTAAGGGTGTTGTCACTGGTGCGTGTTGTAAGGGTGTTGTCACTGGTGCGTGTTGTAAGGGTGTTGTCACTGGTGCATGTTGTAAGGGTGTTGTCACTGGTGCGTGTTGTAAGGGTGTTGTCACTAGTGCATGTTGTAAGGGTGTTGTCACTGGTGCGTGTTGTAAGGGTGTTGTCACTGGTGCATGTTGTAAGGGTGTTGTCACTGGTGCATGTTGTAAGGGTGTTGTCACTGGTGCATGTTGTAAGGGTGTTGTCACTGGTGCGTGTTGTAAGGGTGTTGTCACTGGTGTGTGTTGTAAGGGTGTTGTCACTGGTGCGTGTTGTAAGGGTGTTGTCACTGGTGCGTGTTGTAAGGGTGTTGTCACTGGTGCGTGTAGTAAGGGTGTTGTCACTGGTGCGTGTTGTAAGGGTGTTGTCACTGGTGCGTGTTGTAAGGGTGTTATCACTGGTGCGTGTTGTAAGGGTGTTGTCACTAGTGCATGTTGTAAGGGTGTTGTCACTAGTGCATGTTGTAAGGGTGTTGTCACTGGTGCGTGTTGTAAGGGTGTTGTCACTGGTGCGTGTTGTAAGGGTGTTGTCACTAGTGCATGTTGTAAGGGTGTTGTCACTGGTGCGTGTTGTAAGGGTGTTGTCACTGGTGCGTGTTGTAAGGGTGTTGTCACTAGTGCATGTTGTAAGGGTGTTGTCACTGGTGCGTGTTGTAAGGGTGTTGTCACTGGTGCGTGTTGTAAGGGTGTTGTCACTAGTGCATGTTGTAAGGGTGTTGTCACTGGTGCGTGTTGTAAGGGTGTTGTCACTGGTGCGTGTTGTAAGGGTGTTGTCACTAGTGTCTGTTGTAAGGGTGTTGTCACTGGTGCATGTTGTAAGGGTGTTGTCACTGGTGCGTGTTGTAAGGGTGTTGTCACTAGTGCATGTTGTAAGGGTGTTGTCACTGGTGCATGTTGTACGGGTGTTGTCACTGGTGCGTGTTGTAAGGGTGTTGTCACTGGTGCGTGTTGTAAGGGTGTTGTCACTGGTGCGTGTTGTAAGGGTGTTGTCACTAGTGCATGTTGTAAGGGTGTTGTCACTGGTGCATGTTGTAAGGGTGTTGTCACTGGTGCGTGTTGTAAGGGTGTTGTCACTGGTGCGTGTTGTAAGGGTGTTGTCACTGGTGCGTGTTGTAAGGGTGTTGTCACTGGTGCGTGTTGTAAGGGTGTTGTCACTGGTGCGTGTTGTAAGGGTGTTGTCACTGGTGCGTGTTGTAAGGGTGTTGTCACTGGTGCGTGTTGTAAGGGTGTTGTCACTGGTGCGTGTTGTAAGGGTGTTGTCACTGGTGCGTGTTGTAAGGGTGTTGTCACTGGTGCGTGTTGTAAGGGTGTTGTCACTGGTGCGTGTTGTAAGGGTGTTGTCACTGGTGCGTGTTGTAAGGGTGTTGTCACTGGTGCGTGTTGTAAGGGTGTTGTCACTGGTGCGTGTTGTAAGGGTGTTGTCACTGGTGCGTGTTGTAAGGGTGTTGTCACTGGTGCGTGTTGTAAGGGTGTTGTCACTGGTGCGTGTTGTAAGGGTATTATCTGTATTTCAGGCTAATAGAAGGGTAGGACACCTGCATAAGATAGATATCTTGATGGCAGAATTGTTTCTCCTAAAGTGTAAGTAAATACACTCAAATACAGAGGATAAGATAAGATAAGAGATAAGATAAGATTTCGTTCGGATTTTTAACCCCGGAGGGTTAGCCACCCAGGATAACCCAAGAAAGTCAGTGCGTCATCGAGGACTGTCTAACTTATTTCCATTGTGGTCCTTAATCTTGTCCCCCAGGATGCGACCCACACCAGTCAACTAACACCCAGGTACCTATTTGCTGCTAGGTGAACAGGACAACAGGTGTAAGGAAACGTGTCGAATGTTTCCACCCGCCGGGAATCGAACCCGGGCCCTCCGTGTTCGATGTAGTTGTAGTTTTAAGGAGGTGAGTCCCTCAGTCTGGAGAAGAGTTGAGCTCCGTAGTGTTGAGCAGTGTGAAGCTGAACCATCAGACTGGAGAAGAGTTGAGCTCCGTAGTGTTGAGCAGTGTGAAGCTGAACCATCAGACTGGAGAAGAGTTGAGCTCCGTAGTGTTGAGCAGTGTGAAGCTGAACCATCAGTCTGGAGAAAGTTTCTCGAGTGTTGACATGTAGCGAACATCAGATGGGAAGAGTTGAGCTCCTTGTGTTGAGCAGTGTAAGCTGAATCATAACGGGGAAGAGTGAGCTCCGGATGTTAGCAGTGTGAAGCTGAACCCCAGACTGGGAAGAGTTGGCTCCTTGTGTTTAGCAGTGTAAGCTGAACCTCAGATGGGAGAAGAGTTTAGCTCCGTGTGTTGAGCAGTGTAAGGAACTCATCTGAGAAGAGTTTAGCTCCCTTGTTGACTTTTGAAGCGAATCTCAGATGGAGAAGAGTTGAGCTTCCCCATGTTGAGCATGTGGGAACGAATATCAGACTTTGGGGAAGAGTTGAGCTGTGTGTTGAGCAGTGTGAACGAATCTCAGACTGGAGAAGGTTTAGTCCCTAGTTTGAGCAGTGTGAAACTGAAACATCGACTGGAGAAGAGTTGACTCCGTGTGTTGAGCGGTGACTGAATCACAGACTGGAGAAGAGTTTAGCTCCCTGTGTTGAGCAGGTGAAGGAATCCAAAAGGGGAAAGGGTTTAGCTCCGTATGTTTAGCGTGTGAAACTGAATCATCAATGGGAAGAGTTGAGTCCTTTGTTGGCAGTGTGAACGAAACATCGATGGAGAAGAGTGAGCTCCCTAGTGTTGAGCATGTGAAGCTGATCATCGTCGGGAAGAGTTTTAGCTCCGTATGTTGGCATGTGAAGCTGACTTTCCCGGAGAAAGTTTTCTCCCTAGTGTTGGCAGTGGAAGCTGAACATCAGAGGAAAGAGTTGGCTCCGTAGGTTGGCGTGTGAAGCTGAACTCAGATGGGAAGGTTGAGCCCTGGTTGAGCAGTGTGAAGCTGATTTTCATGGAGAAGATTTCTCCTAGTGTTGGGCAGTGTGAAGCTGATCATCAGATGGAGAAGAGTTTAGTCCGTAGTGTTTGGGAGCGTGAAGGAACATCGACTGGAGAAAGTTGATCCGTGTGTGAGCAGGTGAAGTGAAAACATCATCGGGAAGATTTAGCTCCGTAGTTTGGAGTTGAAGCTGAACCATAGAAGAAAGTTGAGCCCGTATGTTGAGCAGTGGAAGCGAACACAAGGGGGAAAAAGTTGAGTCCGTA